AATGTGGGCTAGCTCAAGAGCTGGAGCTACCTGTGAGAAACTACAAAGAGGAGACACTGAAGAAAACAGGGGTACCAATGCCCCCCTCCTATTCTGTTTGGTCTTCACAGTGTCATTCCTTAACAAGCTTTGAAAAGCATCTTAAGCTGAAAAAAGGATTTCTCCTGAAAACCGAAGTGTCGCATTTCTAAATCCTACATCATCTCATGATGAAATCTATTTTATACTCACCTACAATCCCACTTGATTTGTTCCTATTCTTTAATGTCTTTGTTGCTTTAAAAAATGCAAAATAGTTAGGTTTTCCAACTTTGGGGAGTTAAATTCAGACTGTTATCCTGGTTAGAGATAATGTACTGAATTGAAATGATTCAGAACAGTGAGGGGTAGCTCAGTGCCACCAAGGAAGTTAATTCCTATTTAACATGTGTTAAAAATGAGCTGGATTTAGAGATTATGGCTCATGAGTACTGGGGAATAAAATGAAATGTAACTCTCACAATTCATTTTTTATTACCTTTTAATTTTCCCTTTCTACTCCAACCTGCCTCACCTCCAATTTAAGATTTGGGTCATATAGTAATAAGCCCGCTCCCCTCCCCCTTTCTAGACATCCTCTCATTTCAAATTAAATCAACCTGAGTTTTCAGAATTCCGAGAAAATTTCACTGTGTCAAATGTTGTAAAACTCATACCTTAGACGTGGCCTGGGCTATGGATTTTCTATCACACTTTCCCTTGTTAACACCAGGGAAAAGTACATTCCTGGCAGCCCAGAATCTCAATAAATATTCAGTATTCTGCAACAGACAAGTTAACAAAGAAAAACAGCAGTACTCTGCAAATGTTTCTCAGTCAATGAGAAATGTTTTCATGTTGGAATCACGAAGTCGTAAACTGAAGTCCTCTGCCTGCTGTGTGGTAAGTCAGGAGTCTGTTCGGTTCCTGGGAACAGAAAGTATTCTTGACCCTGTGTGTGCCCCAGTGATTAGTTGGTCTAATCCCTTTTGGATGTTTTTTTCTCCAGGGCCTTGGATAGTTTTCTCCCTTGCTTGTCAGTGCTGCCGAAAACTCAGGGGGGTCCTCTGCAGAGCTCCCCAGCTCTCTGCGGTATTCTCTTCTCTGCTGCTCTGCCTTGCAAACTCCAGTGCTTTGGCCTTCCACTTTCTGTGCTCTCCCTACCCAACTCAGGCCACCTTCCCGTGTTCTCCTCTGTGCTGTGGCTAAAGTCTCTCTCTGTGGCTAAAGTCTCTCAGTTTCCATCTTTCAGGAAATGCTGACCATGGCTTATGTCCTATATTGTGGATACCAGAGTCTCACTTTGTGATATCACTTGTGTCAAGTGTGACATGCAGTGCCAGTTGCTTTCTCTTGACTGGATGCACAAACCCTCTAGAGCTATTTTAAGACTGTTTAAAATTGTTTTTGACACTATTTGAGACCCCACACCTTATGTTAATAAACTCATGAAGAATAATCTATATCTGACAGTGAGTTTTTAATTTTTTTTTAATTTTTAATTAATTTATTTTGTGGAAGAATTGGTGCTCTTCAGAGGTGCAGGGGGTGAGGAGAGGATTTACCAGAGACAGAGTGGGGAGCAGAACAGGAGGATTTACTGTAATACACTGCTAAGGGGAGCAGCTGGCAAGACAGGAGAGATCTGTTGCACCCTATGCGGGTTAGCTCCTTGGCCAGGGATCGAACTCAAGCCATAGCCATGATAGCACTGAAACTTAACCCCTAGGTCACCAGGGAGGCCCTGAGTTTTTATTTTGTGGCAAAGTGAAAAGATGTTTTCCAAGTCATTCAGAAAATTTTACAAAGAATCCTTACATTTCAAAAATAAGATAAACAACTCAGTTTAAAAAACTCCAGAATATTTGAATATATATTTCAGAAAATAAGTTATAAGAATGGCTGATAAACACAAGATTCGCAACATCATTTGTCACTATGAAACACAAACTACAATGAAACATCATTTCACCCCCACTAGAATAACTATAATAAAAAAAGATAGGCAATAAAAATGTAAATGAGGATGCAAAGAAGTGGGAAACCCTTGTGCACTGTTGATGACATTGTAAAATGGCACAACCACTTTGGAAAAACAATTCGGCACTTCTCTTACAAAATTAAACATCATTGAGCATACAACCCAGCAATTCCACTTTTAGGTATCTATGAGATCTGAAAATATATATCCACACACGTATTCTTTGCATCATTAGTCATAAAATTTAATACAACCTAAAAATGGATACAGCAAAAATTAGGAACAACTTACTTTGCTACCAATTGGTGAACGTGTTAGAGCCACACAATGGAAGTGAAAGGAAAAAATTACTGACAGGTGAATGAACTTCAAAATTATGCTAAATGAAAGAATACAAGTCAAGAGACCAATTATTGTGTGATTCTAAATATTTGGAATATTTGGAAAAGGCAAAGCGGTAGGGTCAGAAAGCAAATTAGTAATTAACTACAGAGATGTAAGGGAGATATGATATGGATTAACAGTAAATGGGCATGAAAATTCTTTCTTGGATGATGAAGTTCTAAAACTGTTTTATGGCTATAGTTGCACAATTTGGTAAATTTACCAATAAATTTGGTAAATATATTGAATTTTTACACTTGACATAGTTGAATTTATGTGTAAAAAATACTTCAATGTGTATCTGTCGCCATATAACATAAAAAACTAGGTTGCATTTTGGACCATAAAAGGGATGATAAAGGAAAATTTACACAATGCCTCAAAGCTTGCCCTGTTGTCTCCATCCCATTGCTTTTCTTTATTAACTGTTTGGAGGAGCCGTCTAAAATAATGCTGCCTTTGTTTTTTTCCTGGTGCCCCTGCCTACTTCGATTTTGTTCAATTTTAATTTTCTTTACAGACAAGTGACATGTATTTAAATGATGCAAACAAAAAGATTCATCTAAATCTTAAATATTGATAGTGAATTCTAAGATATTTGGGCTAAGTATGGATAAAATGCAAAGAATACATCGTTAAAAAGCAAATCAACTTAATGTGTGTTCTGCAAATGGACCCTTTCTAATTGTAGAAAATTTTAGTTGTCCTAGATCCCAAAATAGAAGTGTGAAATAATAGATTTTTTATGAGTATAATTTTATAACATACCCAATTTTACTTGAGAAAATGAAGTTGTCTAAAACTTAGATAATTTAAATGTTGATTGGCATAGACTTAATAATGCACATGAGGTTATATTTAATCAGAGAGTTTAATCCTCACATAACAAGTTTGTATCTCAAAAAGAGAAGGAATATATTTTAATATTTTAAGTTAAAAACATTAAGAGAAGGAGTTGGTCATTTGCGTAGACTAGCCATAGCCTTGGTGCCACTCTTTAGGCCATAATCTATGAGAACTTTTGGGAAGGATCACATGGAAGCAGAACAAATGATAAGTAACTAGAGCATAAACTTGAAGCATATTCAGGATTGCTTTGGATAGAGAATAAAAAGTATGTAATGGAAAACTCTGCTTATCTGGCCTGGAGGTTTCATAATAGTCTAAAATCTCCATCTATTGCTTTTTCAAGGAGAACCAAAATTAGCCTATTCTCTAATATAAGGATATTTTTGGTTCAAAGTAGCACAGAGATATTCTAATGAAACACTTAAAATAGCAAGCTGCTGCCCAGCTGCCATATTCTTTTATGCTAAGAGAATGTATTCTCATGTTAACCCCTTGTGTTTGGGACACACACACACACACACACACACACATACCACACACACGAGACTGATGGAATCCAGTGAGAGGGATCAATGATTTATTAATCCAGAGTCGTTAATAACCCTTGAAAACTGACTACAGAACTGAGGCATCCAGAGGGGGAAAGTGTTGGGGAGGGATAAGAACTAAGAAGGAAAAAAGCACAATGGCCTAGGGTGGTGTACTATGGATGATTTAGTGGGGGGTGCACTACTGTGGCAATACCTGATGGGGGTATCCAAATATTACCTCAATTAAAAATAAATTAAATATAAATTAAAAGAAGAAACTGTATATCAGGCTATTGTCACGTCAAAGGAAATTAAAATTCAGTATATGTACTTTCTCCCCACTCAATGAATGGTTATTTACAAGTTAGATAATTTATATTTCTATTAATTGTTTTACTTGGCACAACAGTTCATTTGCTTTGTTTGATAGATACTTACTTCGAGGATGTGTTGATTTTGAAAATTCTCTACTAGTATCAGTTTACTTTAATAAAAATGAAAACTTTGGGGTGGAGGGAAGCAGATGGGGTATAGACACAGGTGGTTTGGTGGAGAGTGAAAAAAATAATTTATTTTAAACTGAAATTAACTTTTAAATCACATGCACAAAAATAAATAAAAAAAATTAAAACTCTTGAACAACTAGGTTTGCAGAGATTTTGGGTCAGAGGACGCATGCATAGGATACTGCACCCCAACTCCTGCACAAAAAAGCAAACAAAAAACAAAGTATTAATAGTTAATAGCCATGTAATCAAGGGAGCAAGGGAGCAGAATTGTCAAGTAAGAAAGTAAGGAATTACGGCCTCAGTACTAACTGTCAGCTCCACAGGGAGAGGCAAGGTAGAAACAAGTTCTTGGCTGCAGACCAAACAGATCAGGTACAAAGAGAGGAAATCCATACAGGATGGATAATAACATGCATTTTGTAGCAAAAAATGGTGTTGTGGCATGAAGGCAGTCTACTCGGTAAAGCCACAAGCAGTCCCAGGCCAGTAGAACGCTCTAGCCACCTGCTCATTTTGACTCGTAAGAGTGTTCATGGCTATTATTTATCATTTTTTCATTGGAATGCTTATTAGTCTGACCTGACTGTGTTGTAGATCACTTTTTTGCATTATTTGTAGACAACCTGCTTATCTACAGAAAAAAGGGTATTTTTTTTAATTCTTAAAAGGACTTTTAAACACACGGTTCTCACCCCATGCTACCTGTCTTTTTTGTTTTTGTTTTTTCAGCTTGGACATTTTTAGATGGTGCAGCCTTGATACATGGTGTACGAAATGGCTGTAGGAAACAACACTCAGAGAAGTTATTCCATCATCCCGTGTTTTATATTTGTTGAGGTATGTATATATTTTTTAACTTTATGGACAAATTGGGGTAATAATAGCACTTTCATACTGAGAACTTGGATTTTTTTAGTGAAATTATTTCATCTTATGATTGACATCAAATTTGATAGCACAAGTATTGGTAAAGAGTTAATAGACTGTTCACAGCATTTCTTGAATAGAAAGTCACAGAATAAGCAGGTTTATAAGCTCCATGTATGAGATACAACATAATTGTTTTGGTTATATTTTATTTTCAGTGGTGATTTGAAGGGATTATTAATTATGAATGCAAGAATTTAATTAAATTGTTTTTTTAAAAATCAATGTTATTTTTCAGGAATTCAATAAACCAGGCAGTTTATAGATGATGTTAGGTGCTGGTCTTTTGTCTTGGAGCCCAAGTAAGGAGAAAATTCTGAGAGCTGGGCATTTTTCTTTAATGGGGTATTGAGAGCTTGTATAATATACAATTACTTTTAGTCATGAATGATTTTATTGCTCTAAGTTTGCACCAGCAAATAGTTTTTCCAGCATCTCGTTGGTTATATTTCTTGCACTCTTTCTTCACTGTACCTCTCTATATATTGTTGCTATAGAGGAGACAAAGGCATGGAAATTTGGGGAACTTTTTAATCAGGTTATCTCACATCAAGATGTTGGTTTGCTAGAGTTATTATTTCTGCCTTCTCAAAGAGGGCATCTAATGGATCGTTCTTTATCCTAAATATCAGTTTTAATATATGAAACTGTAAAGGACTGAAAAGTAAATGTGCTGGGTTTCCTTCCTGGGTAACTGCCGGCATAGCCTCTGTATCCCAAGTGTCAGCGGTTACACATTCTTACATTATGGTTTCTTTTTCGCTGAGTGTGGGAGGAACAGGCATGTTTATCTGTTTTATTACCCATGTGAAAACAGACAAATACTTGGGTTAAACCACTACTCATCTTAGCAGAAATGTGTAGTACATATGTTGTTTAAACACAGCCTATGATTCAATGGTATCTCTTGAAAAAACTAGCTAAGTAGCCAGGTGACTAATTTTGATCATTCTGATTTTTGACCTGATGTGTATATGTGTTTGATCCTTGAGATTAACCATCTAGACATTTCTTAGTAGTTTAAATGAATAAATAGCACTTGATGATTTATTTCTTCCTCACATTTGGGAACTTGTTTGTATTGCAGAATCAGATACAAACAGATTTGCTTGGGATGGTGGTATTAATATAAATCAAGACACACATAGACTCAAGCTGACAAAAATCTCTGAAAGGGTAGACAGAGAACTTGTCTCTTAACATAAACAAAGTTTCTCAATACTCTTCTTTTAACTTACTCAGCAAGGCCAAAGATAAATCCATTGAAACAATACCTATATGTATGTGGGTTGAAGTTACTATTGTTTGTATTGAAATCGTAAGTAAGAAAAAGGAGTTCCTTCTCCTACTGCATGCAGGAAAGGATAGAAAACTATACTGCAGTTTTCAATGTTAAATCCTTTCTCTTTTGTATAAAAAAATGCAATTTTCAAGTAAGCTGGAGGAAACTGGGAAATAAGTTATTTGTCATCATCTTTATCCTCTAGGTAGCACTTTTATTTCAAACTTTCTTAAAAATCAAACAGGAACCAAATCTCAAAGTAAGAAGTGTAATTTCTTGCTGAAAGCTATTCTCTGAAGATTTTCAGCTCTCTAATGCATGAATGATGAGCTTGACTGGTAGAGCAAGCCATAAGAGACATAAATCAGTCTTTCTGTGTCTCAGCCTGAAGAGAACATAAATATAAGTCTAAAAATCTGGGAGAGGAATGGTAGTTTATTCTTTTTCTTGCTGTATTGTCATTCTTATTTTGCGTGGAATCTTAAGATGTATCTTCTTTCAGAAGCAGGCAGGGAAAAGGAAAGGAAGTAAAGTAACATAATGTAGAAATTGAGAGGGGAGGAGGCGAATTTCAAAGGGCTCTCATGGGTTTTATCAAGCACTTATTGTATATCTACTTTATTCCAGGGGTATCAGAAAATTTGGTCAAAAATAACTTTTTAAAATGATTGTACTTTTGTCTAAAGTTGTCATTCTAATCTTCCTACATTCTGTCTCTAGTTTATGGTGGATTGTTTCTTTTTTATTTTTTAGCTCATTTTCAGTAGAACTCGCTTATTTTGTTGGATTCATGTGGGTCTTGGATCTTCAGAGCACCTCATTGGAGGGATCTTGCATGCATGTTTCTCTTGGGCTTAGGCTTCAGTATTCAGAACCCAATTTTGCATAACCCCAAAGTATAATTAGTCAAGCCTTCCTTGCTGTCTTTCTATACTAGCAGGTGAATTTGTACAGAATACTCTTTCTCTGAAAGTGAAAAGCAAGGTTTCATGAATTCTGACTTTTATTTTTTTAATATTTTTTTTAAATTTTATTTTATATAATTTTTACATCATTTTTCGTTTTTGCGCAATGTATGCCTTTTCATCTTGGTTATATTCCCCATACAATTCCCACCCCCCCCCTTTTTTTGACCCTAATCCCTCCTCCCCTCCTTCCTGAATTCTGGCTTTTATTCAGGAGTCTCACTTTCAACTCAATTCCTTATGATACCATGGACCTTAATCCCAAAGAGATTGGGATTGAGAGATTGACACATATCATCAGTCGTTAAGTTATCATTCCTGTTTTCCGTACCCTTTTTGATACAGCTCACCTGTAAATTAAAAAGAAAAAACTAACAGGAATTTTAGATGTTTTTGGTGAAATTTTATCATGCCATCTTTGTTCATGAACACATTCATTTAACACACCGTTATTCAGTATCTATTATTTTTGCCCTTTATTCATATAAACAAAGCTTCTGTAACTTGGATCTCACCAAGTTTTTACAGAGCCAGGACTGCTGGGTCATGCTTGAAATGTACCTGAGGTGGGGAAATGGAAAGTGGGAAAGAGAAATGCATTAAGGCCCACAGTGGCACGCCATTGTGCATTTTCTTGGTGATTTTAACTGTATGAGCACCAGTGTTTACTGGAGGATGTTTTATATGTGCCAGTTGTTGAGAAATATAAATATCAACTTGCCTGTATAATTCAAAGTTGCTGACAAAGTAGGAGCCTGCTTGGGATCCATCTAGAAGGCTAACACAGTGGTAGAGAACCTATCTGACAAAGCAAAAGCGTAAAAGATCTCATGAGAGTAACAAGTCAGGAGGGCATTGCTCCAGGTAAGCCGAGTGTCACAAACTAAAATGAGAAGTTAAAAAGTCACCTAAAAGTTTGTAGGTTGAGAGTATATACAGAAATGAATGGACTAAAAGGGAGGAGATTAACCATGCGAGGACACAAGAATGGATTGAGGTACACAGGCAAGGTGCACGGCAGATGAAGCTTGAATTTGAGATATTCAGAAAAATGCCGCTTTTGTACATCTCCCAGGGCTGGTTAAGTGATATGTTCCTGGCTGTGCTGGCCAGAGTCTCTTAAATAGAAAGCCCTTGCAAGGGAATAATGATTTTAAGGTCCAGAATATAAACTTTTCTATCACTAAGGAGAGGAAAATCCATAGTCACTAAAATTCCAAGATGCTCCACAACAGTAACTCTGGCCTGTGCCTTTTAGCGCCTTGCTTATTTGATTCTGCCTAGAGCATGTGCAAATTAGCCAATGCTGAACTAGACAAAAGCTAGAGAAGGCAGAGGGTAGGGGCAGAGGAGTAGAAAATTAACAACCTATAAGCGCTTGGGGCCATCTACTTCTCGTCCTCATTTTTGTTTCTTGAACTCAATAATATTACATTTTGGTGAGGGTGAAAGTACTTATAGCAATATAACTGAAAAACCCCCAACACAACAAAAGTAGTGATCAAAACAATTAAATATTATCTTTGTGTGTTTTTCATCCTCAGATTTTTTTCCTCTTTCCCTCCCTCCATATTCCCTCTCCTCCGCCTTCTCTTTCTATTTATTTCTGATCCTCTTCTGTCTCTTTCTCCTTGCTTTCCTTCTCTCAAAGCTTTCCCTCAGTCATTCAACAACACATGCCATACTTGTGTATCTACAAAAGGAGGGCTTCCTTGAAGAAAGCACATTCAAATTGATGATTGAAGAATCATGTTTTTTCCTAAAATTAAGAAGGTCTCTCATGCCCCCACAATTAATACTGATTTTGTATTTTTCTAAAATGCTTAGAACTGCAGTACCCCATAGATATCAGTGGATTCCTCTCAAAACAATTTCATTGCAGTCTTTATAAAATCATAAATAACTTGAACGGTCAAGTTTCTTTCAAATGTATTTGTGCTAACAGCAAAACTCTAAATGGAGCTTAGCTTCCTTGGCAGACAGTATTAAGTACCAGGAGTCTGGGTATAATGAATGCAATTGTTGCTTGATGTGTGGAGATGTGGCAGTTAGATCATTTTGACAGTGCTTGTACTTGCAACTTTTATGACAACTAATTTTTCTCTACTGGAACCTACCAGGTGATTGTTATAAATTCCAGCCTGAAGATAAATAATCTCATGAGTTTCTGCAAGAAATTTATAATTTCAAATGTCTTTCTCTGGGGCCAGAAGTTAAGGAATTTCATACCATCAGTTTTTGGATACTGAGTGCCATCTCAAGACCTCCTTTATTTTATGTGTCTCAGGTTTTAAAAGCAGAGACTCTGGGCCTTGCTTTCTGCTTTTTATTTGCAGGTCCTAAGGTTTGGGAAAAAAGGGACTTATTTATAGGATTCTGTGTCGCCAGTGTCTATGACCTGCAAACACTTGGCTTACTTTGACTAGCTCAAGTGAAAACTCAAATGGCTGACTTGTCAACCTAATGACATATGCAAAGCTTAGCTGTTTAATTTGTTTGCTTTCCATGGACATTAGTCTGTTTTGACAGAACCGAATGAAAATACAGATAGCTTTGACACCTCAAACACAGGATACAAAATAGCCAATTAATCTTGTCCAGCCAGCCTGGGAGTTCTGGTACTCACCCTTTCTACTAAAAACCAAGCCATGGATAGACGATTT